GACCGCACGTAAAGGTGATTGGAAAAATTCTGTATCTAATTTTTTGTTTCTCTTTTTGACATTTGCTGCTTGCACTGTATTAACGACTTTGGCGTTGCCAACTATGCATTTCAATATGAAAATTTCTTTAGGTTTAGGGTTAACAATTCTTATCAATTCAATATGAGAAAATATAGAGGGTATTAATTTGAATAGCGCAAAACATGTAAATTCAAATTTAAAAATTCAAGGCATAAGAATATAAGGTTTAACATTTTTGAATAACTCAAGTTTAGTGTTAACAATTTTGAAATGATCTAACTTTTAGAATTAACAATTCAATGAAGGAAAATATGTTTACAAAGTTTGAGTAATTCAATTGTTGAAGAAAATTCGCATTAATTCAGGTAATAAACATATACGTTGCAAGGTGTTAAACGACAGACATTTCTCGTTTAACTAAAAATGTTTCAATACAAACAATTTATTTTGGGCAGGACGAAGTTCCCTGGGTCTGCTAGTCTATATATATAAAAATGAAATATTTTCCGTATGACGGCGATGCCTGACCAAACGGCTGAACCGATTTCAATTCTGTAAAAAGCACATTTTTGGACCATCTGTGTGGAAGGTTCTTTGATTTGAACCAAGCTGAGACGTCACAATTTCATAGAGTTTTCCGTATATTGATTGTCACTAAACTTGGACCGATTTCGTTCATTTCAGCACCTTGAAGGGAAATATTTCGACTAAAAATTTAATCGCTTGGTGGCGCTGGGGTCCGGATATTCATAAAAATTGCATTTACTTGCTGATTTAGCTCATATTTAAAAAACAATTTAGCCAATTTTAAAGAAATATTTGGACCTGAAATGTATACGATAGGTGGCCCTGTGGCGGAGACATCCCCAAAAATTATTTACGCTAAGAGAAGGATATATCTACTATATTTGTGGAAGTATGTATGTATGTATGTATGTATGTATGTGGCAGGTTGCAGCCTAAACGGACAGACTTGATCAAAATATTGACAGAGTATTGCCATGACACCTGGGCCTATAATAGGATAAAAAAAAA